AACACCTCCCCGCACGCTTGCACAAACAAACACACACGCTCCTTTTGTCTGCAGTGCAGTTTCAACACTTGAGGCAATGAAGCAAAATGTTGTGATTATTCTCATGTAATGAAGCAGAACAAGATAAACAGCCATTCTTGTTGAAGAGCGAACAATTAACCGTTTTAAGGTTCTGTGGTCCTTTAAGATGTCTAGGTTTCGTTGTCACACTCACCTCGGTGTGTTTGTGTGTGAAGGAGGTTAGGTTTTTTATGCAGTATTTACAGTAAGCAGATCTGGCTATCACCTTTCACCAAGCCTACAGCACGCTCGAGTCCTTTTTATTTTATTAAATGCACCAGTGGGCAGCTACCAAAACAGGGACCAATGCAAGAACAGAGGGGAGAGAGACACAGAGAGAGAGAGTGAACACATTTACATATAAAGCAATATCCAGGGTTAAATGCAAGTAAAAATGTACAGAAATGACATTTTTGAAGAAAATGTGAGGCGGTTGATCACGCAAAACTCATGGCTAGGTTGTTGCGAGGTGGTTTCTATGGTCTTTTGGGTGTTTTTTTAGCACGTTTAGTCACTGGTCTAAGTCAATACTGAGTCCCAATGTGTCTCAGGCATGGTTATTATTGTTAACAAAAAGAAAGTATTCAAAAATATTTCTGTTAATTGAAATAAAGCAAAAATATTAGTTAAAAAATAGTTGAAAAACTTTAAATAAGTTGAAGTTGAAGCACTAATATTCTGTAGTTATCTGACAAGTTATCTGCCAAAGTATAATGTTACACTTTATTTTGATGGTCCATTTTAGACATTCAACTAACTATAAGTAACTTTGCAACTACATGTCAGCTCACTGACTGTTAATAGATAGTTACTTCTAGTCAGTAATGTCTGTTGGGGTAGCATCAAAAGAGTGTCAGTAGAGATTAAGGAGACAGTCTACTAATACTTGAATGACTGCTAGTTGACATGTAGTTGCAAAGTTACTCATAGTTAGTAGAATTTTTAAAGTGGACCATCAAAATAGCGTTTTTTTTTTTTTTTTTAGTATTTAGGGTTAGGAGTTTGTTAAAATCATTAAATGAACAATAATAATAACATGCATTATTTGGGCAGAACTTTATTTTAAAGCCCTGTTCCCCATGTACTTATGTAGGATAATTGGGTAATAATGTACTAACCCTGAACCTACCTCTAAACTTAACCTTAACCCATGTGGTTACCTTATTTTACCCAGTACTTTCTCAGGTAAGTACACACACAATTGCATATACTGTAAAATTAAGTACATTTAGATTTATTCATTTGGCTGACGTTTTTATGCAAAGAGACTTACAATTGCTATATATATATATGTTAGAGTTTGCACGCCTCTGGAGCAACTAGGGGTTAAGTGTCTTGCTCAGGGACACATTGGTGTCTCACAGTGGATTCGAACCCAGGTCTCTCACACCAAAGGCATGTGTCTTATCCACTGTGCCATCACCACCCCACAAGTGAAACCATTATTTGTACAGAAATGCAATTACAATGAAAGTCTCTGGGGTTATAGTTGTACGTTTGCCACGTAGACTTCTATTGCAAGTCTAAATACAACTTACAAGTGCATTCACATCATGAAAATTTTTGTTTTTTGTTTTTGCCCATTTCTCTCCAGTGCCTTTTTGAAATGGGAGACAGTGTATGTAAAAGCAGAGGAAGAGACTCTCTCGGTTTAATTGTATGTGACAGGACGGCTGGCATGCAGAATTTAGCCATACTATACCTAGTATACTGAGACAGACAGAGAGCTGTGCTACATATACTACAGCATGTACAAACACAATGGCTTGGACAGTGACACATTTTGCTCTTCTGGAGTGAAATTAGCTCCACAGATTGCTTTTTTTAGTCTGCCTGATATTTAAAGCCAGTATGAAGCTGGTTTTACCTCCACATTTAAGAGAAACAAGATATTCAACAAGAAGATGGTGGGTGGGATTTGATTTTTTGCATCAGGAACTGATCGGCTGAAAAATAAGAGGGCTTGGTGATGTCATCTAAACGGAAAGTTGTTTAGGCGTTTGTGATGAAAGATTACAACGACGATTTGTAATTTTGAAACTCTTCAATTGATCACAAATAGAGCAGGAGTCTGTATAAATTAAATAAATACACTAATGTTCAAAGGTTGGCCGGTTGGTAAGATTTTATAATGTTTTTGAGAAGTCTCTTATGCAGCAAGGCTGAATTTATTTGATCAAAATACAGTAAAATAGTGTATTTTTATAAATAATTAAAATAACTGTTTTATATTTTAATATATTTGCTGTCAAAGCTGATTTTTGACTGTCAAATGATCCTTCAGAAATCATTCTGTACATTTATATCATATTATACATTTATTTACTGTTACTTTTGATCAACTTAATGCTTCCTTGTTGAACAAACTCATTAATTAAAAAAAATATATATACATACATACATACATACATACATACATACATATATATATATATATATATATATATATATAAACACACACACACACACACACACACATACACACACACAAGAAATCCATGTTGAGTGGTGTTTCCTACCAGTGATGTAATGGGGTCATTTCTTTCAGTAAACAAAACAGTGGGAGGAGACCTGAGTTGGCCTGCTGATATTTACAGAGAACAAACATACTCTCTCGTTAGAACACACACACAACACACACACACACACACACACACACACTGACATGCAGCTTGTACCAAATACCACCACGACACAAACAAAGCTTGAACCAAAACTGTCAAATATCCATTCCATATAAATGACACCTATAAACACACAATATGTAATAGGATTATAAATTGAAATGAATATTGATTGTCTAATTCCAAGAACTAGATGTTGAGATGGCTGATGGGTCGGTGTGTGTGTGTGTGTGTGTGTGTGTGTGTGTAGCCAAGACCAATGTGGATCTCGTACGGCATTCTGCAAAATTCCCCCGAGCCTGTCTGCTGAGCTGAACGTCTGATTGAGTCGTGTCACACTAATCTATCCTGACAACACGCGAGCAGTTGCCATGTACCCCTCCCAATCCCTAATGCACTTTTTTTGTGTGCAAGAGAACGAGAGAACCCCATCCGCCCCTCCATTCACTTCAGAGAGGATGACGTGGTCTGTGTGTGCGATTGTGTGTGTGTGTGTATGGCAGAATACCTCAGGGTTTATGTGAAGGGTGATTTGTAAAGGAAAGAAAATCAATAGTTGGTCCATAAATGTACTCTAGTCTATATCATATAAAATATACAGTAAAGAACATGTCATAATGTTAAATAAACAAACGTGTATTTATGTTTTTAAGTCTGACTGGCTTAAATATTCATAAGATTAAAATGTATTATTTTTTTTTTACTTTTCTAGTCATCAAAATGTTGCATTTAAAAGATGGACACAGCATAACCTTTCTTTTTATTTTATTATGTTATTAATTTATATTATTAATAATATATATATATATATATATATATATATATATATTATTTTATTTTAAAGTAAAGTACAAACGAGAACAAATAGTACTAGAATTTGATTGAAATGATCGATGCAATTTTATGAAGGATCATTTTTGTAAAGGAAAAAAAAAAAAATCAATAGTTTGTCCATAGACGTCCTCTGCAGGAACTCTATTTTTACATCATATAAAATATAAGAGTATGTCACGATGTAAAATAAACATAACAGTTGCATGCATTTAGGTCTTAAACAAGTATGATTGGCTTAAATAGTCATAGGAGTTTAAAATAAGCTAATAAACTTTACTTTTATAGTTTTAGTTTTATTTATAAAGAGATGGACACTTTTTCTTAATTTAAAAGATAATATAAAAATAGATTTTTAGTTTTTACATTGTCCAAATGAGGACAAATAATAGGAATTTCAATTCAAATTGCCATGGCAATTTTTTAGCAGGAAAGGAAAATTGCGAAGAAAAAAGAAATGCCAGAAATTGAGAAAAGCTAGAAAAGAAATCGTTTGTGTTGAACTCTTTCCATAGTTATTCCTGCACTATTGTCCAGCCTGGTCTAATCCCGTCCCGCTCCAGATGGGGTTCAGGCCAGGAGAGAGGACCGTCACCCTGCAGGTGGGTGTGGAGAGCGGCTGGGGGATCACTCCCCTTACGCCTCACCTTCTCCTCCACCCCCTTTCCCCAAAATCCTGTTTTTAACACATGACCGGATGCCCTGAATTATTCAACCTTTTCAATATTTCACATGGCCCCCTTTTCCATGTTTGTTGCCCTGGACTTATGCAATTTTCATGGAAAAAAAAATGTTTTTGTCCTAGTTTAAAACACAAGCGAGACAGCAAAGGTTTGGTATCATTACGGTGGAGACTGTTGTGAATGAAGACTGAAAGGGGTTTGTGATAAAGACATGACAAGTTTCTCATGAAATTAGACTGGCATCGTTTTTCTTTTTTTAAAAGCTAGATAGATAAAGCTATTTCTTGTTTCTCACATACATTTTCTAAGACAATATAAATTAAATGTTAAAATAGGACTATAAAACACTTGATTTTGATTGGTCAAACAAGCCATTACGGGTTCAAATATTATTATACACCGAGCGCTTTACTACAAAATAGTCCCAGACAAAGGATTTCCAACATTTCACCTTTCTTGTATCACTCCGCAGTATCTTTCTTCTCACATATATACAAAAACTTAAACTAAAATTAAAACAATACTTGTATGTCTATTCATGGAACACGATTAGAAAATTTTAAAAAATAAAGGTTCTTATTTGCATCAATGGTTTCATGAAGAACCTTTAACATTCACGGAACCCTTACATTCCACAAAAGGTTCTTTAGAACATTATAATAGTTCTTTTAAAAACTGTTCACTGAAAGGTTCTTTGGGGAACATAAAATGGTTCTTATATGGCATTGCATTACTCGCTTATTTGTATTCAAATGATGACAAATTTGGATAGACATACAAAACTATCAAATTTTATCCTAACATTGTATATTAACCTTGTATTGTAATCATTACGAGCATAAGTTGTAACACGTTTATGGTGTCTGCTTGACTGAATACATGTTAACTTTAAGAGCATATCACTGCCATATGGACATTACTTTGATACACTCATCTTTGAAACAAGCATTTTATGTAAAGCTACTTTGAAACAATATGTATCGCGAAAGCGCTATACAAATAAATGCGAAAACCCTGATTATGCCTACTATACTTTATATAAATGAGTTATAGATTTATAATGGGCAATGTCAGCAATGTCGCCTTTACTACACCGAACCAAAATAACTACATTGTGTCGTTTTGCATACCTCGCTCGCCACAAATTTGGAGTGCTTTGAGAGACAAGAGTCGAGGAAAGCAAACTCTCGAGGTTGGGCATGTTGGCTGGTGACCAGCGGGCTCAAGCCGCCCCATTCTCCCACTGTTTCCTTCAGAGTCCTGGCTGCCGCTACTCGCCAACCCCCCTGACCTTCCATAAGGCCCCAGCCCAGGACACCGCGCCTGTCCTGCCATGTGGTTGGCTGTACACTCCTCTCTCACAGGACCCTTTTCATCCAGAGTGGAGTGGGGGTGTAACATTTTCTGTAAACACACACACACACACACACAAAAATACAGTTGAAAATATAAGCGCAGATGTAGATGTAGACGCACAAACAGCGTGACACACATGCGGCACCTCATGAGCGAGTTATTATTAAACTTTCAGGTCAATTGTGTGGTAGAGACTCAACTTGAGGCTTTCAGCAGCATAGTGCAGTAGAACTGATGAAACATTCATGCTCGGAGAGCCATGTTTCTTTTCTTTTTTTTGTGTCCATTTTCATTATATGCCATCTCTGTTGAGTCAAGTCAAGATCTCCTAATCCACTAGTACCTCTTACAGCTAATCAGCCTGACATGTTAACTTACATAAACAGAACTCCAAAACTTCGGGATTGTGAGTTTGTAAAATGTACACCAGAGAACAGCCCCCACAACCTTTTTAAGTTTATATAACCAATTCATGCAGGATGTAACAGGCTTTTAATTATACATTATTTAAAGTTTTAGAAAACGCAATAACAAAATGAGGAGCCGCTTAAAATGCTTTTTTAAAAGCACCTCCGAACCCTGACCCTAACATGAAAAAATAGATAAATTGTAAATAGGACTATAATTCACGTTTCTGATTGGTCAAGGGATTCTAGGTTGGGATTCTAACTGTAAAATTGTCTAATTTCCTACTTGGCTATACTACTGTAGTTTTATGTCTCTAGCATAGTATTTGTCTTCTCAAATAATACAATAACTTTATATTTTTGTTTATTTATTCATTATTTGTTACACAATCATATAATAACATGGATGTTTAGAAATATTAACAATATGAAACCAAATTACATCAAGATTAATGTCAAAATGGCTGAACTGTGTAGACAAAAACAGGCATCTGGTGGGGGCCGCTGTCCCGGGTCCTCAGAGTGTGGCCGGTATAGGGGTTGCCCCTGCCTTCTGCCTATAGAACAAATGTGCCCAAGTTTGGACCCAGGGTTGCCCACAGTCTGCTTGCACCAGCAGCCAAGACCTCCATATGCCCACCCAGCTGACACCGTCTCCAGCACGCTGTGACCCCAATGTACAGTAAAGCAGACCAACACATGCCCAGAACTCTGCACACAGAACCAGTGCACTAGGATACATCCATGGATATGCGTGCATTAGTGCTGGGAAGCTACTTTGGAGGTTGCCAAGCTAATCATTATTTCAAGTAGTTAAATAACTGCCAAACAACTATTTAGAAAAGGCAGATTCAAGTAAATGCCACCGAAGTTTTTAATCAGAGCCATCATAAATTGTATATAAATCTAAAGAAAATATTTAGATTTTTTATAAATGATTATGGGGCGGCAGTGGCTCAGTGGTTCATGTGGATTGTCTACGAACCAAGAGGTTGGTGGTTCAATCCTCGGTTCCACCTGACCAAGTGTCGAGGTGTCCGTGAGCAAGACACCTAACCCCAGCTGCTCCCGACGAGCTGGCTGGCGCCTTGCATGGCTGACACCGCCGTCGGTGTATGAATGTGTGTGTGAATGGGTGAATGTGAGGCAAAATGTAAAGCGCTTTGGTGGCCATTAGGTCTATGAAGGCGCTATATAAATGCAGTCCATTTACCATTTTACCATTATATTAATTGATTATATATTAATTACATGAATTGATTTTATTTTAACTAAAAGCAAAATGTACTTTTACCATCAAATCTGTAAATAGTCTGTCAATAATAGTCTATATATAGGAATATAGATTTTCTTTGTTTATATATATAAAAATATGAATGCAATGAGATATGTATATATGTATATATATATATATATATTTACACACACATTTATATATATACATATATATATATGAAGAGTTCAGATGCAAAAGCCTCTAAGTGCCATTTGAAATTTTCTTCTAAAATGATCATTTTTATCAAGCTTGTATATTCAAGTTCAATAATTTCACTTAAATGGCAATGAAGATTACCTATTAATTGTCATTTAAGTGAAATTACTGAACTTAAATATACAAGCTTGATAAAAATGGTCATTTTAGAAGAAAATTTCAAATGGCATTTAGAGGCTTTTGCATCTGAACTCTTCATATATACATATACACACATATATATATATATATATACACACAAATATATACACACACACACACACACACACACACACATATATATACTGTATATATATATATATATATATATATTCAAATCTGTGAATTGTTTTTTGAATTGTAAATTACAATATTAGCATTCTTTCAGATTTCACGACTTTGAGTTTTTAAAGTCCCCATTTACATCTGTTATTAAAATACTTTTTGGTTTGCATGCACTCAAAATACGCACAGAACTAAACGTGGTAACAAAGATCAAATGCAAACACAGTAGCACAGTCACATGTAGTTATTGCAACCCTAATATCAGTGCGTCCATTAAAAGTCAGAGCATTAGTAACCACAAAAAAACAAAAGCTTACTGATCTCCGAGCAGCTCTCACAAAATGTACAAAGCTTCAGATACATTAACACTTATCAGGAGTTATCCTCTCCTAACAGCCACCGCTGAAGGCTCCAGTTGCATTAATATTTTACAAGATTAATATTTAAACACATCAAATGGAATATGGAAAATAGCATATTGAACAGAACCTCATTAGCCCACGAAAGAGAAGCTAAGTAAGTTTCATTCAAAGTGCTTTTTCATTGTGTGTGAGAGTGAAATGGGAGAGGGGACGGATGGACGACGGACGGACGGATGCTGGGTAAAAAGATTATGGCCAACCTATATAAATTGACATGTTCAAGAGTTTACTATGACATTTGGCAATAAATACCATCTGCTGTATAAAAATAGTCTACTAAACGAAGCTCTAGTCTAAACTAATGCAAAACAACCAATCAACTGTCTAGACTTCCTTTATAAATGGCTGGATGGCTTTCAAAAGCAAGTCACAACTTTTTGGCACGTCAAGTTTAGGGTTGTGAAGGAGACTTCATGCACACTGAGGAGGAGAGAGGCCAAAAAAACGTCACGCCGCGAGATCACAAGACTGCCTTTGGCCAGAATTATAGTTCAGAGCTCCATTGTGATTTATAATTTCTCTCCACCTATTTTGAAGTGAATATGAAAGAGGTTTAAAAGTGCTATAAAGAGTGTGCTCCAGTAGACACATTTTTTTGTTAAACAAACAACAACAAAAAATGATTTTAGTTGTTCTGGTCCTGGACTTCATACATTTAACTTTAACTTTTAAATCTTTACCCAGATGTATTGATCTCCATTATATTGAGGCTGAAAAGGAAAGAAACATTTGAAATAAAGTAAACTTACGATGAGAAAGGCATGATGACCTTTAACACGTGGCGTCGTGCCAGATCACGGTGGAAAAAAGACTTGCACGTTGTCATATATGACACTCAACAATAGTTGTTTGCCTCTGAGCTGCCTGGAAACAGCTTGCCGGCTGCTGATGATGGCAGACCCTGGAGGCCACCAAATCCCTGAGGTAAAGAGAGGAAAACATTAGTAACAAGATAACAGGGGAGGAGAGGGCTCAGAGAGCTTGGCTTCTTCAGGTACCTGGGCCTGCTCTTAACTCCTGAACCAGCATCCCAGGGACTGGTGACAACAAGCAGTGGGTGTAGGGGTGGTTATAATGGTTGATTATGATGATGATGATGATGATGATGATTTCAGTCAATATATTACATGATTATTATACCAGTCTGTCTGGCTGTTTATATCATATAATACACTTAAAGAGTAACAAATAAATAGTCCTTTAATCAACTTTGTTCACTAAATCAACAGTCCCCCTATTAAAGTGACAATCCCCCAGGAATAACCTGGGATTAAGTGCTTTGTTCAAGAACAAAATACTGATTGCTCATGAACTGCCCCATGTGGTGTTTAAATCTATAACCTTTACACCTATGTTTAAACCTATAACCAGGACAGATCTTTCAGTTTTTAAAGCTACACTGTGTGATTTTTACCCCCACCTGGTGGTGAAAAGGTATATGACCATCTAGTGAATATTAATTTCTGCTCCTCTCAATTCCGATTTCGTTTTAACCCCTACGGTACAATGTAGTCCGAGATTAACATGGCTTCCGGTTCGACCTCGTCCATGAGTGTTAACTCAAACGTAAACGCGAAAGGTGAAGCTTGAATTAATGGGTATGTCCCTCTTTGGCTAATGTACTTTCAAGATGGAGGGGCAACATGGTGACCGACATTAGAACCCCTTACCCGTATGTATTTTCAATGGCATATTATACACTCACTATAATACTTTATACTTGAAAGAAGTAAATAAATTAATTAGCACATATATTTTTGAAATAACTAAGTGTTTTTAGCTAAGAATAAACTAAAAGAGTTACACAGTGTAGCTTTAAAATAATTGTTTATATTTTGTCTATTGTGTTTGTTTATTTGAGCTAAAAAATTGTCAGTTACCAAAACTGATATTTATTTATTGATTAAATAATTGTTTATATTTTGTCTAGAATTTGTTTGTTTATTTTAGTTCGATTTTTTTTGTTTTCAGTTTCCAGGACAAATCATTATTTTTTATTTTATTTTAAATAATTGTTTATATTTTGTCTGGATTTTGTTTGTTTCAGTTACCAGGACAGATCTTTATTTTCATAATTGTATATATTCAGTTAGGTTTTGTTTATATAAACTTGTGTTTTGTCTATTTTTTGTTTGTTTGGTCTCATTAGATTTTTGTTTTGTTTCTGTACCAGGAGAGTCTTTTTTTACTACATAATTATATATGTTTGTTTTGTTTTTTTTAGTTAGACTGTTTTGTTTAAGTTACCATAACAATTCTTACATTTTTTCAAATAATTATTGATATTTTGTATTTTATATTTTTGGTCTATTTCTAATTATTTATAAGCCAACAAAAAAGGAGGTACAATACCCAAAACAAAATATCAACTAAACAATTGCAAAATAATGACTTATAGTAGTAATGACAACCAAATGTTAATACCTTGTTACTTTGAAACAACATGAATCTAAAACGATTTTTTTTTTATTCATTTTAATTCACCATGGTATTTACACTGCAATTCAACAATAATGAAATATTTAGACCATAGTACATGGTCATAGTGCTGTGGTATTTCCATAATACCATGTCCAGAAAAATAAATAAAATAAACAACATGGTGCTTTCTGTTAATGTACTGAATACATAGTCTAATATAAACAATTAGAATTCATGCAACACAAGTCTACTCGAAAAGATCAATGGAAAACGATTGATAAGTGCCATAATCAAGACACTAGGGAAGCTGTTAATCAGTGACTGCCATTCACAACCTGCAAGAGACGCTTAACAAGGGGTGAATTCTGCTGAGACTGTGATGGCTTCATTACACTGGCCTCACTTACCGTCTGGAAAAAAAAAATAATGATTTAATGAACAGAGTTAAGATTTGACACCACCGCAGCACTCCAGCTCTAAATCAGAAATAATGAACGAGCCATTAACGAGGGGCTGGGAGAGAAACACCTGATCTGCATCCCCCCCCATCCTTCCATCCCTCTGTGTCTCTGTCTATCCCTCCCTCCCTCCTTCTCTAATAAACAGTCCACAGCTGAATCAGGGCATCACCTTCACCTGCTTCTGCAGCACTAAACCTCTGTCTATCAGAATACACCCACCCACACTGCGCCTCTGTCTGTCACACTACTCCTACGCAGTGTATACGTACACACACACACACACACCTTCACCTGGAAGATGAGCTGTCTATGACCGTCTCTGGGGAGTGTGAGGGGGTCTCTCTGTGTCTGTCACACTCGCAACCTCAGACGCGAACACGCATGAGGCACGCAGTAAGAGAAGCACATCCGTACACACCTGTCAACAGAAGAATGTTTAATTTGAACAGGCCTGCCATCGTTTGATAAGATAATGACTGAGGCTGCCGGTATAATCATTTCGTTCATTCATGTTCGCTTCGGTATAATGAAGGTGAGGCCTGAGAGTTCCTGAAATTCGCTAAACAATCATCAACAAGTTTTGAAGTAAATGTTTTGAAATGAGACAATAAACAAAAACAAAACTAGGACAGGAAAAATAAGTATGCTTTACCGTGTTGCTTGAGTCGATACATTCAAGGTCCTTTAATGGAAATTTGGGTTTACCAGAACACCTGGCTATCAAGAAATATTTTCCACAGGGTTCTCGAGTTTGCTAATTTGTTCTTTGGATATTAATAAATTCCTATTTATGTCATGGGTTTTTCAGTTCAGCATATTTGTTTTGGTTTTTTTTTAAAGCACCAGCAGAGGATTTTATAAAAAAAATTAAGAACTAGACAATAAAAAGTTCTTTGTGGGACTAAATTAAGTTAAACGTTCTCAAAATTGTTAGCCATAGTAGATACACAACTGTTCGCGGTCAGCATAACTTAAAAAATAATAATTAATACTTTTATTCAGCAGGGATGTGTTCAATTAATCAAAGGTGACAGTAAATACTGGTTGTAAAAATACTAGCCTATGGTTTCCACAAAAATATTAAGAATTATTTTCAACATTGAAAATAATGTTGCTGTAAGCTGCAAATCAGCATATTAGAATGATTTTTTTAAGCATTGTGATGCGCGACACTGAAGACATAGGAATAAATTATATTTAAAATAGATTAAAATAGAAAAGTTATCTTATATTGTAATAATATTCACAATATTACCGTTTTTACTGTATTTTGATCAAATGTCCCAATCTGATCAAGTACTGAAGGTTTTTATTAGCTGGGCGGCCACCTAGTCTAAAATATGCCCAAAAACTCTTTAAATCCAGCCAACAGACAAGGGGAGACCATTTAAAGTCGGCATGAAATCAAATTCGACAAATCTTCTTTTTATATGTAATATTGTAGTGTTTATTATAAATGATTTATCTGTGCACTTCAATATTTTTTTTAAATTCATGTACCCTTATAATCTTCAATCAAATACATTACCCTTCCCTCCCTCATCGAAACGACCTGTCTTCTATTTCGGTCACGTGCCATGGCGAAAGGGTGTGGCCAGATCCAATGAGGGTGTGGCTATCGGTGCACCGCCTCTCAGAGAATCGCATTCAAATCTGCCTCCATTTAGTTTGCAACACCCACCGCCCAACGATCCAATCAACTCACGAAGGACGAAATCAAGCCCTGCCTAACATTTTTGATCTAATTTCAGAAGCCGTTTCACCTGTATATACGTCACAACAAGGGAAAAAAATGACAATCTCAACTTTTATTTTTTTAGCAAGGATTACATTAACTATATACATGTTAAACAAGCATTTGACAACCAGAAGTTTAAATTTAGCTTAAACACCCTAACTTTTTGTGAAATGTTTAACTTGAAAAGTTTGCTTGTGCTATATCTAATAAATACCACTTGGTTTGATACTGAATGCAATCACATTCTTACCTGTTTAATTGTGGCTTAAGAGTCCAAATACTTTGTTGAGTGACTGCATCCTTGATTATATACAGCCAATGGTCTGCAACTCCCTGTGGCTTTATGCTGTTTTGGAAACAAAATCATGCTAGTTTACTGGTACTTCTTTTAAGTGTTAACATTTCCTTAGCTTTTATGATCTTAACCAGGCCTATTACACATAAAAGGCCCATAATACCAAACCTTAATTTAAGTGCTCCTCCAACAAACCCAACAATTAAGGCACTCTTTACCATGTGTTCCATTCTGGACAAAACTTTACAATTTAGCATTGGGGCACCTCTTGAAACCTGCTTTTAAAGAGCTGTCGAAGAGAGGCATTTTTAACTTTTGACAAATAAACAATGGCACCCTCTGAGCCCGCTGCGCTAAACACCGCTCACCAGGCCCGAATTAAATGAGGAGAAAAATGCTCAGGTCCCTTTGCACCGCACCACGATTTTAAGGAGGGGAGAGCACACATTTCACACAGTTGCCTTTGTGTGTAATATATTGTATCATGGCCATCCTGCTGGGCGTATTTCATATAGATAATGATGAAGGCAATGCGAATATCTACGTGAACGAGTGGGTTAGCTAATTAAGATTATAGCTACCCAGAGAAGTGTCTCGGTACAGTTTGCACCCAGCAAGGCGCTGCCTTCATTGTGGGAAAAGCAGCACCATTTAAACAACAGGGTCCACATCACCTGGAGCGCAATTGATACCAATTATACCATATCATAAAGTAACCCAATTTAATAGTCAGGGAACCAACATGGGGCATTTGGCTCATTTATTAAGAGACGACCGAAAAAAGATTCATTTCTAGTCGGTGAGCTGTCATTTTGTCGCAATGATAAAGCCCAGATCCTAAACTTAAGAAACTGACTGTCACAAATAAGGCAAGAGCAATTAAGCACAACCTGGCGCCAAGAAAGGGCAGTAATTAAGTGCGTTATTGTCTTTTGCCTTGCTATTTTAGTTTCAGTGGAGCTAAAGATGTTTTTGAAAGATAATTTTAGAAAAGAATCAATCCAAATGAAGTATAAATATTATTAAATATTATTAATATTAAAAATAATTGAAAGATGACACTAACTAAGAATTATATATATTATATGTATATATTATATTATATATATTATATATATATATGTAAATACATTTACAGTGTTACAAAATCGTATTTTTTTTACATCTGCTTTACATCAGAATTTAAATTTGTCTCATATTTGATGAAGTTTGCATCACTGATCATTATTTTTCAGTTTATCAATAAGAAGCTGCTTTGAAACTATCAGTATTTTATAAAGTGCTATCTATATAACAGAGAAGGTACACTGTATACTAAAAAAAAACTGATCAATAGAAAGTTAAAAAATCAGTTTCCACAAAAGCAGCATAATAATAGTAAGAAATGTTTCTTTAGCACCAAATCAGCATTTTAGATTGATTTCTGAAGGATCATGTGACTCTGAAGACTGAGAGAGTAATGATGCTGAAAATACAGCTTTGCATCACAGGAATAAATGACATTGTAAAATATATTAAATTGACAAGAGTTACTTACAAGATGCTGTAAGAAACAGGTGGAAATCAATGGTGTAAACTGTGGAATTTTCGGCAACGGATGGATCCGCAGTTCTAGAAGAGGATTAATTATTTGTAATATTTAATTCTATGAAAAGTTTACAATTGAAATATTGAACAAAATTCTTTAGTGAATTCAATTGAAACTGGCTCCATTGTGAACGCCATAATCCACTCTTAATCTGGATCAGGGATTCTAGTGTTTTTTTTTTTTTTTACCCCTCTCTCGAGGCAGCAGTTGCCGTTCATCCCGTGCCTTTGTGTACGTGCCGGCCTCCTTAACGTTTTAGCAGGGCTTTGACTGGTTGAACTTTGATCTGATGTCTTCATTGAGGAGAACTGCAGGTTACCCATTCAAGATGCAAATCCTTTACCAGAGCCTATAGGCACTTTGTAAAAGAGAGAGAGAAAAACAGGGTGAAAGAGAGAGAGTGAGTGTGTTTCGATGGGAGGGGGGAATCCTGTGTGAAGTTGAAACACTCCGCACGCCCCCCTCTACACACACCCACACACACACACACACACACACACACTCGCGCTCTAATCCACATTGCAATATGGATTAAGGTAGGGGATAACCTTTTCTTAACGTGCAAGAAAGAGTATGGCAAGGACAAGCCCGGGGTGGGCGGCTGGGGATCTTCTCATTATAAAGCAGTGCTGTATAAAAGCACGCTCTGTGTCAGGCGCTTGTGAATGGGCCTCAATGCAGCCCCATTCCCAGGCCTGGTGGGGAGGCTTGCCAAAGACTACCTAGAGCCAACTAAGCGTGAGTAATCCGTCCAAACTCAATGGACGGGGTGAGCCCCATTCAACCCTCTCAGAAGTTTAAGAGTTGATCAATTTATTATCTGTGGCGATTAGGGTGCAGGCCCAGTCACCTTCTTAAAACCCGACAGTCCGGGAAGAAAAGAAAAAAAAAAAGGAATGGGTCTCTGTTTCCACAGCCAGCGTCGCATAACCGAGGCCCTCTAATTGCGATACTAATGCGCTCGAAACCTCTGATTTGAAATGAACCAAGGCAGAAAACCGATTTCATGCTGTGACAGTTTATATATTGCCGCCGATAGACAAACGGCCCATTGAATAGGAACTGTACCTTCTAATTTTGTTTCCGGGGAGAGAAAATAATCGCTTTGTTACATAGGTAGAGAAAATTGGGCATAAAATCATTCAGCCATTTTTTTTTACAGTCTTACAGTCTGATGTGATGTCTTTAGATGAGAATTAGATGACTGAAAAAAGCAAATTTGAATAATTGACTGTTGTAATTACGCCCCAAAAAAAGGCTTTGTGCCTTTAACGGCTTGTAATGACAACTGAGTTAACAGATCGGTGCGGAAAAATAAACTACAAGTCAAACAAGCTTTGTTGACTAAGGATCACACCCACTCCAACGGCCACAAAGGGTGCAGTGGTTTGGGACAAATCTCAAGTGCTCTTCACACTCACACTTCTTAGCACATGGATAAACAGTTGTATTAGCTCAATTCACAATAGCCATCGTCTTTAAAAAAAAAAACGAATGTTAAAAGCCAGAGGAGACCAAACAAATGAAAATGACAGGCGAAAAGGGGAGTGTGGTGAAGCCATGCCTGATTCCTCAGAGCAATGATGAGGTAAACACAACAGGTGTAATGGGGTGTGTCTACAAGTAGCTCACTACTTCAGTAGCCAGTACACTAGTAGCCTACTACTGTAGGGAGTCAGCCATGTCAATATAGTTCATGACATTCACATTGTAGAAATTCCCTGACCTCTCACTAGATTCACTCACCAGAAACAATGCCGTGTTTTAAGTCAACAAAGAAGAGTCTATAGACTCCTTTGTTTTATTTACACTGTAAAAAAAATATTGTTGGATTAACTTAAAAAATTAAGTAACCTGGTTGCCTTAAAATTTGAAGTTGATTGAACTGGAAAAAGTGAGTTACATACAATGAAGGAGATTGATTTAATCATCAGAAACTCAAAATAATAAGTTATCTGAACTAAATAAATTATTTGAGTTGATTTGTCAAAAGAAAAAATGTTGTGATAACAAATCTGAAAATATATTTTTTTACAGTGTAAGTGCAAATCAAGAAAAACTCTTATTTTTTGTAGTTACCTTTATATTTTGTAATGGCATTAACAAAAATGCAATGTGTTAAACACTATACTGTAAGCAACATTTTTTAAATTTCAATGTATGTATTTTTTTTAACAAATATTCAGTGATGGAAATTACATGCTTGCTAGGGCTAATTTCACAATTAAATAATATTTTCACACTTTTTAGTTTAAGTAGAAATGATGTACAAAAATATTCTATTTACAAATGCCATTTACCTTTTTTCCTTTGTTTTATCTACACAAATTGTCTATAGAAAACCTTTAGAAATTAAGAAAAAGACCTTTAAAGCAAAAGATTTATGCTAAACAATATATATATATATATATATATATATATAAATGTATGTGCTCAAAATTGAAGATGTAAATTGTGTCAGTGTTTAAATGACCACTGCTGATCCACGAATTGAATGCTCATGACATACAGATAGGGATCTCAGGAGCAGAATGAGACATCCATAGTTTAACAAGTAAGATATTAACATTCTTGCTGGGCGAAGCAGTCGTCACCTCTTCGGTTCGCATGTTCATGGCCCTGTGTTTGTCAGAGGTCACTGCCAACCCACAACAAGCCGCCACCTCATTACCCAAACTAAATAACTATTAAAGCCATGTGACAAATATGCTACATATTCACATGGACGCTGCTCAAAAGTGAGGCCCCGATTACAGGCCCAGAGCGGAAAAGATTGTTTCATCGTCATTCTCACACTCAATTGACTGTGTGGTTATGTGTGTGTGTGTGTGTGTGTCCTGGAGTCATTATGTGCAATTCAGGCAAGCACGTGGATGGATGTGTGTACAGAGCTTTCAATCATGTTTATGAGGGGCCGTTCGTGCATATGCGTGTCTGTTTGACTCTTAGCGGCTGTTCCCTCTGCAGTCAATTTATCTTAATGTGAATTGAATGTGCTAACAACTCCAGCGCCGTCAGACATCATTTCATATCAATCATCCGATATCAGCCACACTGATCTACAATGGCAAACACTCAGTACTTACGGCAACAAACAGATTTACAGTAAATTATGAAATATATGTTGGAAGAATGGCACAGAGCACTGAGAACTCTTAGTTTGTTCAATTTTGACAGCCAGCTTGCTTGCAAACCCCTTAGCCATTTTCTATGTAGTACAAAAGTGTATTATTGGAATAAATCAAACAAATTCCACAACACTACATAGGACAAACGGTTTGGAGAATAAATAAATAAATAAATAAATAAATACCACAACCCAAATAATATCTGCCACCATTTACGCTAAATAGCACCTACTCTTTACTTAGTGCAAGGAAAATATTGCTATTTTCCACTTAGTGTATTTAATATATATCCCTATTTGCACTTATAATCAAAATAAAATAAAATAACCACTGCCTACTACTACTATTAATAATGCTGAAATCATTTTGTTATGTATATTCAGTGAGAACACTGTATTGACCAATCATCATCCAGGATCGCAACCACCACATTTTATATAAAGTAATAAAATCACAATAAAGTCTTTTAGTGGTTTGTCACTTTTAAAGGGACTTTTTTAAAAAAAAATTAAATGATCTATTTCAGTCTATACTTTGTAGCATGTTGACCGTTTTGGTCTCCTGGCCACTTAACAAGGTGCATGTGTGAAAGAAGATGTGTCAGAGCCCCAGGGACAAATCACCTTTCTTACAATAAAAAAAAACAGGCCATTGTCTCGGAGATAACACCTTAAATTAGAAAAACCATGCTTAACACCAACACTTCCTGATTAGACCTGTGAGGAGCTGTGGGCCAATCAGAGAAAAGGACCATGGGGCATTCCTTTGTGACATCATTAAGGTAATGTGTGGGTAAAGGCTGATTTAGATCCCTGGGCTGGTCACTGTTACAGATTGCCGGTTAGGAGTGTTTGGGGAGGAGAGGAAGGTGTGAGTGTATGTGAGGGGCTGAATTCACCTCTTGCTTCAGACTCTTTCGGCTATTGACTCCTCCTGGGAAAGGAAAGAAAGAAAAGTCACTCAAGGCAAAATCACATTTGGTCAGGTCTAATTTGACAAAAAAAAAAAAAACACAATCCATGGGTCAGATCAGAAAAAAAATGGCGAAAAAAAAACAAACAATTATTATCCATACGGTCAAACACACATACACCGGTCAGACATATTTACAACATCTTCACTATAGGATATTCCTCTCAGACCAGCAAGAACTTTACATATAAAGCGAGGTCAGATACACAAAACATGACCAAAACATTCTTTAGATCCATGGAAACCTTCACTGCCCTTCAGTGTGTCTGCACTCTGCCATGCTAAGGAATGGGAGGCCTATCAAAAAACAAGCCAACATCCTGCATTGGATTCCCGCCCTCCCCATTTATATGGAAAACAAAGGTTTACGCCTTGACCCCACCCTCCATCAATCAAAATATTTACAATGGCCTCCCATCTGTCCGCTGAACTGAAGCGGCCCGGGTGCTTCTGTTCCTCTTTCCATTAATGGAGGGCTTTTCCTGGAGAGTCGTGGGTTTGTATGACCCCCTGGCTGTGGTGAATGCTCGGGAAGGTCATTAAAACCAGTAACATCACCGAGCTGTAATGACAAGCAGAAGATGCACTTCCTCTTTTGTGGGATTCACTGACTGGCTGGTGGCTTTTCGTTACGCCAGCTCTGCATGGCTCCGTAGATTTGCTCCAGAGGCCAAATCTGGATTGAAAGGTGAAGGAAAAGGTGAAGGGTTGTATTGTAAGGAAGAACAATTTAAATGTATGAAAATATGACAAGAAAATATGTTTCTGAAGAAGAAACATCTACCAAGAATGAGATTTGGAACACAAATTCTTGGACTCTACAAAGTACGTTCCAAAGTCCCATATTTGATCTGGCTTCCACCCACTCTGAGGCTCGCGGCCAAGCCAAGGAGAGCATGCCTTCTCTAGCTTGGCCGAGTGGGTCAGCCCCCTTGATGAATTTCACTTTTTCGCTTATATCTCGGGAATGCCGGAGCTCCCCCTAATCCCACTTTGGCAAAAAAAAAAAAATGTAATTATTTATTATTAAGGCCACGAGATAGTATCTTGAGGCCACGAGTATCTTGAGGCCACAAGTTAGTATCTTGAGGCCACGAGTTAGTATCTTAAGGCCACAAGTTAGTATCTTGAGGCCACAAGTATCTTGAGGCCACAAGTTAGTATCTTGAGGCCACAAGATAGTATCTTGAGGCCACAAGATAGTATCTTGAGGCCACAGGTTAGTATCTTGAGGCCACGAGTTAGTATCTTGAGGCCACGGGTTAGTATCTTGAGGCCACGGGTTAGTATCTTGAGGCCACGAGTTAGTATCTTAAGGCCACAAGATAGTATCTTGAGGCCACGAGTTAGTATCTTGAGGCCACGAGTTAGTATCTTGAGGCCACGGGTTAGTATCTTGAGGCCACGAGTTAGTATCTTGAGGCCACAAGATAGTATCTTGAGGCCATGAGTTAGTATCTTGAGGCCACGAGTTAGTATCTTGAGGCCACGGGTTAGTATCTTGAGGCCACGGGTTAGTATCTTGAGGCCACGAGTTACTATCTTGAGGCCACGAGTTAGTATCTTGAGGCCACGAGTATCTTGAGGCCACAAGTTAGTATCTTGAGGCCACGAGTTAGTATCTTAAGGCCACAAGTTAGTATCTTGAGGCCACAAGTATCTTGAGGCCACAAGTTAGTATCTTGAGGCCACGAGTTAGTATCTTAAGGCCACAAGATAGTATCTTGAGGCCACGAGTTAGTATCTTGAGGCCACGAGTTAGTATCTTGAGGCCACGGGTTAGTATCTTGAGGCCACGAGTTACTATTTTGAGGCCATGAGTTACTATCTTGAGGTCACAAGATAGTATCTTGAGGCCACGAGTTAGTATCTTGAGGCCACGGGTTAGTATCTTGAGGCCACGAGTTAGTATCTTGAGGCCATGAGTTACTATCTTGAGGTCACAAGATAGTATCTTGAGGCCACAAGATAGTATCTTGAGGCCACGAGTTAGTATCTTGAGGCCACGAGTTAGTATCTTGAGGCCACGAGATAGTATCTTAAGGCCACAAGATAGTATCTTGAGGCCACGAGATAGTTATAATTATTTTTTTTTTTGCCAAAGTGGGACTAGGGGGGCTCCGTACCTATTGAAACTCGGATTGAATATAGATCTCCATGGGTCACATGCTAATCAGAATGTTCAAGTCATGTTGTGAATATGCCGTCTTTACATTACACAATAAAACTCAAAAACGCTAAAATTAGATGCCATTAAAGTCAGTGGTTCTCAAACACACCTCCACATCTCCTCCACACCAAAGGGGCCGCATGGTGACATAAAAGTATTAATAATTTCTAAAACTCTTAATTAAAATGATCAGTCTTGGTGTCACAAAAAGTTGCCTAGGAATGAAACTGCAATTCTATGATAATCTTTGTTCTGTTAATGTCTAGCCTGACAGACTGGAAATACAGCTAACGTACAAGTGCATGTACTTCAGCATGAAATATGATCAGTTCCACAAGAACTTGTGTTTTTCCCCCTCCAGACCAAGCCTTTCAAATAACAGAATCGGTTACAGTAAAATTATATTTTGATATGCTATGAACGTCTCTCTTCATTTGCAGCCCCCAAGCCATTTCAATTCAGCCTAAAAACAAAAGGCACCGTCTGCCTCAACATCACTTTGCCCCCAGACTTGCTGATTGTTCAACTATCTGCCACTCAATGATAAAAGTGCCACCCAAAAGCATGGCTTCCTTGTTTCTCCCTCCATCCTGCCTTTGTCTCCAAAACGGTGTAATTTCAGAGATTGAAGTCCTCGCCGGTGCCTTCATTCCCCTGCTCTGACAACAATAGGACCCAAGTGCTTTCAGGAATGATGGATAAATTACTAGGTAGTAAAATATTATATCTAAGGTAGGTGATGGGTCCTTTTCTGCAGGGCTTGTCTCCATCAGTCTCATGGCTCTGGAGGTAATTATAGTCTGTTGGATTGTCTCTCTCTCGGCATGGGATAGAGCTCTGCTGTTTGTCACGAACTCATCTCGCCGAGCGATAGGACAGTAATGGTTCGAATTAACATCTGTTGCCTGGCTGGCATTGTGAAAGGCAGTGACAGCTTCACCACTGACCTTTTCTGATTATTGAAAAAAAAAGAGGAACAATTAGCTCCCCTCTCAAGAGCCAATAGTTTAAATTACAATGTATATTGTACGTTTGACTGAAAGACTGTCAATGGGGCTCAGATGTGTGATTTATTGTGTCGTTTCATTGCAATCATTTGGTCATTTAAAGGCATTGGTTAAAACCTGTTATTTGGAGGTGGACTGGCGGCACGACAAACTCAGGGTGTTTTTCTGAGGTCAAAGCCTCATTAGATCATCGAAACGGCTAACAAATATCAACAGTAGCACGTTGTTCTTTGGCTGAAACGATATTCCTTGATCAGCACATGTTAAACTCAAACCAACAGAAATTGTGGTATAATGTTGATATAATGAACACAAATACATTTCCTTTCCTTAGTTAAAAAAAAAGGGTTTTTACAATTTGGGTTACTGTTGCAATAGAAGCGAATGGGGCCGATACGTAAATGTTAAAACGTTGGTTTTATTTAATATCTTGTTTCACGTTTCTGCTTTCAAAATTGTCAAAAAAAGGCTCCACTCACTTCCATTATAAGTGTATTCTTGAACTCAGAGAGTATTCCTCGGAGTAAGTCTGAGCTAATTTTGACAAATTTGGACCAACGTAAAACCACTTAAAACATTTAAATTTCAGTCCTTTCCAAACCTCCTGCAAAGCAGCCAACGTCTCCTTCACCTCAGAAACAACTTGACCCCGACGACCAAATAATGACAGCAAAGTTGAGTAACGAACACAGTACAGTGGGCAAATATCATCAGCCTCACCCATAAACTCAAAGCTGAGCAAGGCAAAGACGAGAGATTCCACAGCTCTTCAATTTGTCCTCCCAAGGATTGTCTTTTATTGATGGCTTTCTAGGTCAGCGACCCTCCGTGCCGTTCAAAGGATCTAAGAGGCACCCAGATGGGCCCTCTCAAGATGGAGCCTATTGTAGCATACTTTCTATAGTGTCTTACAAATGAAATGCGTAGGAGCCATTAGCCCAGAGTGGATTGTTTTAGGGGGTGTGTGTCCCTCTCATGGGGGGTAATGATGACAGTCTGGGCCACAGATCAGTCATCAAAACAATTGTTTCGGGCCTTTTCTTTTGATGAGAGGCTTTCGCTTTACTCTCTCTCATTGCTCTTAACTGCGAATAAACTCCTGATTGCCTTCTGCAAGAAGAATGGATGGTGTAATAAAATCAGACACATTCTCAGTAAGGTTATATACCAACTTTTCCCTCAACAGGATGTTATTAAATCTGTCAGGTCGTGACAACAGCAGGTGAGGTACTTACTGTTGTCTTAAGGGATTGGAAAGGCAGGTGTCATCTTTCCACCTTGCTCGGCCCAGCACTGTTCAAACTCCCAGACACCTTGTGTGAATTCAGTAGATAAGCATTGGCTGACACAGACATCACCTTATTGAATTAGGCTGTTTGTGCAGGCAGCCACCAGAGCATTCGGCTTCAGCTCTGGTTCTCACCTGTTGACAGATGGGACAGACATGCTAGTTACCTCAAAGGAAATTAGGAATCCAATTTGAATACCAGCTGTTTTTTAAGCAATTGGAGAGCCCCAGTAGTTGTTCAACAGGGTCATTAGGCCTTAAAACTGAGGTAAAGAACTAACAACGGGTTAAAGAATGCTTTTGCTTCAACTAAAAGTTAATAAAAATAAAGGATTTCTTTAGAACTAGGGTTGAATAAAAATAACGATTTATTTCCAATTATCAACACTTTCAGGGATCGAGTATTTTTTTTATAAGACATACATTTAAAAAAAAATATATGTATTTGTTCATGTCATTAAATCTTAAAACAAGTTAAAACTAAAATTAAATAAATCGGAATCATACAGTATTCAAATCAACAGTAGTTCTTGAAAAATACTGACATATTTTAAAGAGATGTGTATGCACGGTTTCACGGCAATTTACTTTTTTGTATTACTTTGAAAAAGCTTTAAAAAATTACAGAAACACAAAGAGCTATAATCACCACTATCAATGACAAAAAATCCAAATTAGAGCATGCAACCATGGGTAACGAGCTAAATTTTGCTAAACCCCAGTCAGTCATCAAATCCATTGTGATCATGTTGTTTGATTATCATATTTAATTTGTAAGTTGGGCCGGTGGGAGAGCGGATCTCTCTAATCCCCTTTCTCTCTTCTGTGCTCTGCTAATTTGAGTCTGTAATGTTGTATGCGTGTGTGGCAGTGATTGCTATCACTGACACAAACCTCCTGGGAAGTCTGATCTGACTGGTGGGGCCTCATAGACTGATCTACAGGACTATCTTGCTATATTTGCATAAGCGGCAGGCAGCTTTGATACTGGACAGGCAGGTGTTATGCATTCTGTGATCGTAAGCTACAATCATGTCTGGGGGTGCTGTTATTAACACTGATAACGGATATGTTTTCATTAAGCAGCCTAAGGAATAGGTCCCTCTATGGAGACTCTATTTTGAGGGACAAAACGTGAATGCAAACGACTGCAATGCAGTAATATCCATATATAGTTTTTCTGCCACTGGGGATGGATTGGTAGGAAACGACAGGATTCAACAGCATGATAGATTTAGTCCATGCCTGGAAAAAAAGCTAATAGTTAACAAATGACTAGGGATGAACTGATTTTTAAAGGGATACTCCACATTTCGAATCCATTCAGGCGATTTTCTGATATTTAGAAGAATTTCAGTAACCAGACAGTTTCTGGTCTCATTGACTTCCATACTAGGAAAAAATATATACTATGGAAGTCAATGAGACCAAAAACTGTCTGTTAACTAATATTCTTCTAAATATCAAAAAATCAGCTGAATGCATTCAAAAACGGTAAAACTCAACTGTTTAACTCTGGGGGAGTTGTAAAATGAGCCTATTTCCAAACAAAAGTGGAGTATCTCTTTAAATTCCGACTAGTGCAGATAATTATCATCATATTATGACAAACAATTGATAAATGGCCAACCTCTATACTATTTTTTTTCTTATATTATACTATTATATTCAAAATAAAATAAATTATAAGAAATCAATGCTTTAAATGCTATACGTCAAGCATTTAGGCATCACAACATTAATATGAAAACATGGGTATTCATTTTGAGATTTGCATTGGCAAGTAATTACATTTTTAGTATTTTTAAAGATTAACTTTACGTGAATATTATGGAATTAATATATCGTGTGCCTTTACCAATGACTAATACGAAATTAAGTGTAAGGAAGCTGGTTGCTGTTCTATATTTAGACTAACTGAACTGCCTTGAACTGATGTTATTACAAAATATATCACAAATCCACAAAGGTCCAAAAGACTAGTTAACATCACCCAAATTCATGGCCTTATTCGCAAAGCTGTGCGGTCTATACTTGCTACAGTTTGGAACATGTTGCTTAATACTAGCGGGTGTGTTTTTCTCTTTGGGACCCCCTGGTTTGAAGCATTTCCAGTTTCCCCAAGTTCCCCACAGTGCCTGACTGCCCAGCACAGTCGACAAGGACTCATGGAGTCATTTAGGAGAGCAGCGGGTCGATGTTGTGGCCTTGTGCTTATTGATCCCATCCAGTCGACAGACACATCCATTTCCCACAGCACACAGTGGGACAGGAACAACAGCTTGACACCCCTAGATCATCAGCTCATGAGGAGAGGTATCTTTTTATGTGAGGGATTTTCTTGGAATGCTGCTTTGAAGATGCGGGAATGGGGAGCCATGAATGGTGAGATTCTTGAGAGAAAAGCAGCTCCTGGGATGGAGGGGTCTGTCAGCAGGGGCTGCCACTGTTGAACTATGGCATCCGAGGTATTCATGGACAAAAGGAAACTTCTACCAGCTTTGACCACTTCTGACTTTTCTTCGAGAAGGAATCTAGGGTGAGAATTTGGGAATATTTCGGAAGCCCATTGAGCATTTGACAGACATAAACTAGTCGTGGAATCAGAACACCTCACTTTTTGATTGCTTACTGAAAAACACAGCAAGTGATGTCAAACATCTGCAATTAGGAGAAACAAATCAGTGTAAAACTGTCTCCGTAAACTTGACCACCATTGCAGGGAATTGTGGTAATCGCACAAAGGACAGCTGATCTAACCTCTCACATTGAGATGTGAGACAGCGATAGATCCAGTCACTGGTAGCTATGACTGCAAATGGCCAACTCATTTACAATCTGAATCCCATTTGATTCCCAGCGGCTCTCCCAGGCATCTCTCCACAAGCTGTACCACCCGCCACTGAGCCGGAGACAGAGAGCCAGCTTGCCACATATGGATCGTCCCTTGATATCATTCAGTCAGCGTGTAATCTTATTATGCAAAGTCTTAATCCGCACCTATGTCCCAATGCCCAAGGGTGGCAATATTGTGATATCAAGGTTCTGGTAGGTCATGTTGCGTGATCCCTACTCTTTTCTTTGGAGAAGATGGGGGACTTAAAAGCCATCCCTAGAGGCCAAAGAAATGGAGAGAAAGAGAGATCTGGGGCGGGACCAGATGTATGGTTTTGTCTTGATTTTTTTCCCTTTTGGATGACAAGATTGACATGAGGTCTCCAGCAAGGATTAGACTTGATTTGGAGCAGTGGGATTTTTTCCAGCAGACACATTATTGGACAAGGGAATAAGGGGCCACCAGCATGGCGAAATTGGATCAGGATTGGCAATCGCTGTGAGTCAGCAATGGAAACATCAACTGCTAAAACAGCAGCTGCCCTGCAGATCTCTCCTCCTTTCAGGTGAAACCACCTTCAGTCACTCGGAAAGGGAGCGGATGGAAAGCGAACTGGGGGTGGGAGAAGCAAGGAGATACGAAGGCTAGTGGTGGTGGGGGTAATTTTGATGTTGGTGAGACTTAACACTGGCGTAATGGGATTAAGATAAAAACACCTTTGTGCCCGGAAAAAAAGCCACCTGGTGCTGTAAAGAGAAGAGCTGCTGCAAGAGAGAGACAGCCAGACACAGACCGAAGGAGAGAGGGAAAAGACTAATCCGTTCCCACCTCTGGGATGTCATTCATAAAGCCGAGTGATTTCCGCTCTGCTTGCTTCAAGCTAATTCCATCACCAGGAGCGACGGGCGATGGGAATAAAGGGCCGAGCTGATTATCCCAGCCACGGCCTAAAACATAGAGGCATTCCCGTTCCTCTTGGAATCAATACCACATGATGGGTTTCTTAGACCCGGAAGTTGCAAAATGATGTTCAAATCCTAAAAGAGAAGGACAGGGAATAAAACAGACAGCTCAGGTGTGGTGGACACTATGAAATGACACATCTACATCTATAGTGTCTGCAATTAGCACCCACTGTATCTCACTCCAAATTAGAGGGTTTCCCTCAATAGAGCTATAAGGCCAATAGCCAATTAAGAGATTGGCAAACAATGAAGTTGCATCTCCAAGCAAGCTGTGCATGGCCAAGCGGTTCCTTGTTGCGTTTCAAATTTAGCTTGCTGTCGTTGATTAGCAAGTCCGCCTCCTTTGAGACATTATTGCTGTGCCTTTTCAGTCTATCAGGCTAAAGACAGAAAGCATCTATCTGCCAACATATATGACATGCTAACATTAAAAAACAGACAAATGAAGGTGTGTGTGACAAGCAGGTTGACATAATTATCGGCAAGGGAGGACGGTGTGTGTTTTGGTGTAGTGGTTGGGGGCAGGTTGGCTTGATTAACAAGGAGTAGTTATTTTTAAAACCAGGTTCTGACATGTTCGGGCATGCAACAGTGGGGTGGGGGCACCTGAGGGCCCGTGGCTTTATGGGTGCACCAGTGCTGTCACTTGTTTAGTCTATGAGCACATTGGGGACGCTCTGGCATTGTGACTCCCCTTGGCAACTGCTTTCACAACAAATGTGTAAAGAGCCTTTAAAAGAAAACAGTCACGATTCAAACACACCAATTCATATTTCAAGCAGACAGCATAGCTCAGGTCTACATTAATGCAAAAAAACAAAAAACAAAACAAAGCAATCCAGTGAAGGCAGAATAAAACTTACCTATAAGGATTCATAGGTGTTTTGAGAGGTTATACATTGGCTTAATATAACTGTACCCCTCTCTGTCGGTCTCTCTCTCTCTCTCTTACACACACAGGTCTAGCATTGCATGAGGGCTGTTAGCATTATTGCCAATTGAATGGATAGGATGATGGGATAGGCAGTAAACCTCTGGCTCTCTGAAAGACTCTCAGTCATAAACAAACCAGACAACCACAACACAAGCATGGAGCCATCAGCTTCCTGCAAACATCTTTAGTAGAGTCATCCATCAAAAAGAGAGCCAAAACGATACAACCTTAAAGGTGAAGTGTGTAATTTTAAATGTAAATGTATCTCCTATTCAATATCAAAATATCAATATGAACATAAAATTCTGTAAAAAGTAAATGCAGATCTACATTAATACAAATTTGGTCAAACCAATTCTCACTATTAACTACGCCATTTGCCTCAATATATGGATAGTTAGTAAGGTAGCTCTAGTTTAAGTTTAAGTATTGGGAAGAAGAAAATGGGTATGCAGAAGGCATTAATATGTGCTTTTTAAGTAGTAGTATCCGGCCAAAAAATAGTTCATAGTGAAAATTGGACCCTTTAAACTGTAAACTGTAACCACAAATGTATTATTAGTTATTAGAATTATTATTATTATATTATTAGAAAAAAATCCCACCTGCTGGCCCCTTTGAAAATTTTGAGATGAGAGGCAAATATGCAACGTTGTCCAAAACACACAAGCTATTTTAAAGGTTTGAGCTGAGAGGGGTTAAAGGAGGGAGGGAGGTTCCCTCTTTGTCCAACCGCCTGCATTAAATGAGAAACCATGAGAGCAAAAAAGGTGATGAAAGTTCATTCAAAGAAAAGGGCCCTATCTTCCAGCTACTTGGAGTGCAGGCTTTGCATTAAAGGAAACTCCTTTCAAAGCTACCTGTGAACAAGAACCGGGATCAGTGAAAGTCTTGCTTAGTTAGACAAAGGTTTTGGGTTACCGTTCACACAGATGTCAACAGGGGGGAAAAAATGTGAGAACAGTCACCAAACAACAGAGAGACAAGGTATAACTAAATTAAATAGTTATGTTGCAACATTCAATAAAATATACATTTAAATTTTTTTTTTAAAGCAGCATTATGTTACTTTTGAAATTTTGCTCTCGGGGTCCCCCTACAGTTGAAAAACAGTATTGTCCTCTACTACTGTCGTAAAATCTGTCATGGTTACACTACTAGGGAATACACGCGTGCATTTGTTGACGAGCGATACCCCTGAACTCTGCAGAAGGAAGGAGTTCTCACATCTTGGGCAGACTCCAGTGTTGCGTGTGAAATGTCTTCATCCCAGGTACATTAGCATATATTTCAGCATGAATATAGCGTCATGGGCTTAATTTTATTGAAACGTCAAAAGATCGCGTAGCTCACATTTACAAGCCAGCGTCTTTATAGTAACGTTAGCCTACTGTTTTACATAATGGATATGCTAATTCAGTTCAATGTTTGTTGGTAGATAATAGCCAAATCGTCAAAATTATAATATCAAGCTACCATAGATGAATCTGCAAATTTGAAAAATCGATTTGCATTACGTTATAGCCTGAGGCAAGACACTTTCAGCAGAAAAAAACCCCAAACAAACATGACTATCAGCCTGCAGACATAGGATAGTTATCCTGACCGATTATTTTGTCCGTCTAATCATGTATTATTTACTTGCAAGAATGTAGCCCCTATCAAACTCAGTAATCAGTATACTTTCACGTCTCCAGCTGGTGCGAGCTGCCCACCCCGGCTCTACGGGGATGCTTGAGTGTGTTAAGCGTGCTCAAAAGAAAGCAATGCAGTCTACATTGGATGCGGACCCAACAGTAAACTGATCGCGCGTACGCGCTGTTTCTGACGCATTTCACATTTGCTGGACGAGGTAAGATTGATGCACCAGACCGGAGCCATGACAACATACAGAGTCAAAAATTTTTTGTAAAAATTAAAAAAAAAAAAAAAAAACGCTTGTTGGGCTCTCGCGTCGGAATTTGCGGAAGTGGGGGAAGTGACGCATGTCATAAAGCAGTCGAATTTTGTCGTTTTTGTTCCTACCCGCTCCCCGAAGTTACAGAGTGCCAGTAAAAGCGATACAGCAGACCTGTTATTCAACCTATTGTAAGTCGATGTACCATCTCCAGGGTTTTGGAAAAATATTATAAAGGTTGAAAAAAGTTACATAGTGCTTCTTTAAATAAAACTACATAGCTCTCTAATTTTCTAACCTGAAAACTGACTTTCTGATCTATTTCTATGAACGCTGAAATAATGCAGTTGGCCAACATACAAAATACAGTTAACTCAAGTAATGACTAGAACATAAAAAACACATCTTTACCATGCAAATTGTTATGAATTATTATGATTCTTTCATCATTTACAGTCACGAAATAAAGGGACATTAATTCAAAGAAACACAGCTGCCCAACTGCCTGTCCAGACCCACAAGTGCACGCAAGGTTAAAAGTTATATCCCCTCAAAAATAGAATGATGATGTCCATCATTGCACTATAATGTGTTGTTGATCCTGTCTGCACATATAGGGGGAACTGAGGACTTAATTAGAGATTTGACAAGCACACTCTCCAAAAGTGATGAGATTATCCATAATTGATGTCACAGTCGATTAAAGTTCGGTCCATTGCCGGTCCACTGGCAGGTCTAGCCTCGGTTCAGGCCTCAGGACATTGATGAAAAGCGTGGTTTTGCCCCGATCAAGCTGTTTCTACTATGGGACGACAGATTTTAGCAAACAGCCTAATGACTGTTTGAAGTTTAATAAAGGCATGACCCTATTCCATTGCCACAACCTTGCGGATCCCCCCCAAAATTGAGTGTACCGGAGAACAATAAGGCTCGAAAGAAAAATGAAAAGCTCATCATTAATTGGAGGGCCTTTTTCGATCAGTGATGTGTGGAGGCAGTTAGTGACTTCATTGTTAGAGGAGGAAAAAAGTGCATTTATTTACATGCAAACAAATATTAACAAGAGCTAAGAGGTTATTGAGCCGCCTGGCCGGTCCTCGCAAACACAGGATGTGAAAGGATGGGGAACAAACAGCATTTGAGTAAACGTCTGGTCTGTAAAAGAGCACGTCTACCTCGGAGGAAACAACCAAGGGCTTTCTGTGACAGTGAGAGTCTAGTGTGACCCAATTCTGGAAACAGTTATTTGGTGATGCACTTGATAAAAGGTACATGTGAATGAAATGAGATATGCTGCTCAGTTCCACAAGAAAAAAATTATAAATAAAAAAAAAAATAAAGGGAAGGTTTTTACAATATGGTCACTTTGAAGATTTATGTGGAGGCCATTAAAAAATAGCTTTAAAAAAGAAAATGTCATGTCTTTTGATTTCTGTATACTGTCAAATTTGAATCCACCTGATGAAAAATTCAAACAGTTCCTCAAAAACAATTTCTCATACTGTAAGTGCCAGGCTCAGTTATGAATGGGGATGTCTTCCTGTTAAAATCCACTACGTGTCCATTAAAAACAGTCCAATAAGAAACTAGCCTGAAGTATCCAAAAGTGTCATGTAACCTTCTTAACTTCAATGCTGAGCGAACAGGAATTGCAGCACACAACTGTTTCCATTTCTAGTGTGTCATCCTTCTCCAAGATGAATTCTCCTCCACAGCGGCAGCCATACGTATAACACTCAGTGTCTGAAAAAGAAGTGATGCTTTATAATCATAACCGTATTTATAATATTATAAGTGGGTATTATAAGTTGCTTGAGAAAAGAGTACTAACCACAATCCCAGTTCATGTCGTCTAGTGTTATATGGGCGTCCACTGGCCAGCTCTGTTTCAATTCATGTGCTGCAGAAAAATGTAATATGAAGAGGAAGTCAAACTGATGATCAATACATGACACAACATGCTCTCTTTCTATCAAGAACAAAGCAGTATTTCATTAAAAACCAGATAAGAAGTCCTTTTAGCATTGCATTTTACAATAACACTGGGGAAGGCAATACATTATGACTAATATCTCACTGATAAGAATATATATATATATATATATGAAGTGTTCAGATGCAAAAGCCTCTAAATGCCATTTGAAATTTTCTTCTTTAATGATGATTTTTACCAAACTTGTATATTTAAGTTCAGTAATTTCACTTAAATAACAATTAATAGGTAATTATCATTGCCATTTAAGTGAAATCACTGAACTTAAATATACAAGCTTGATAAAAATTATCATTCTAGAAGAAAATTTCAAATGGCACTTAGAGGCTTTTGCATCTGAACTCTTCATATATATATATATATATATATATATATATATATATATATATATATATATATATATATATATATATATAAGATTACTCTGAAAGTTGTGTTTCATTACCACATCGAATTTTTGGCACACACACACACACACACACACACACACACAAACAAGCCACATCCTGAACCTTTCGCTGGAAAAAGTGTCTGGAAAAGTTTCCAGAGCAATCCTTGCTCGTTGAAATATTTAAGCAATAATCACAGAGGATTGCTGGGCTGCTGTTCCACTTATAAGAGATTTAGAAAAAGGGAAGCTGCAAAGTCATCTGAGGTCATTTAGAGTGTCCTAGCAAAGCCTTCATGTCTCTTACTGCTGCTATGAATACACAAAAGAGTTGTCTTAAAATATTCATTGAATATTAAAGCAGGAAATGCTTGGCATTTCACAAGGTTCTGCTTTAAAGGCTGCTAATAAGTCAATTTGAAACTAAAACCGTGTGTGAAAAAATGCAATATGACAATTAATTGTCAAGAGGCCGAGAATGAAATTAGATTTCTTTGCTTCCTAATGAAGTCAGGAATCAAGAACGCGACACTTCCAAGTAACGGTTCTTGTCCCTCTCTGGCATACTGTCTGAGATCTTGGCAATTAACAGGTTTGAAAGCAACGTTTTATCATGCTTTCTTTTAATTTGTTTAAAGGAATGTCCTAAGTAGGTGCCATTTCAGTTCTGGCAACTAACATTATCATTAATTTCTTATGTGGAAAAAAAAAGAAAAAAAAGAACTTGAGACAATGAAATGAGGTCCATCTTTGAAATTAGTAGTCTGATGCGTCTCCATTCACCTCAAAAATATGAATAACATTCGGATATAATATTTAGGCTAGCGAAAAGCTAAACCGATGGGAATATTTCAGTTATGCACCATAAAAACTTGATTAATTACCTCATACTATACAGAGTACCCCAGAATAACCTCCAGTTACGAACGTACAGCTACGGATGATGCATTTCTGCTCAGTCATCAAGTCAGAGATGCATAAACTGATGAAAGATATAAAGACTTATTCCTATGACAGTAACCACATGTAAAATGCTCATATCTCACAAATAAGACCCTGTTCATGAATATTTAAAACTGAATACATTGCTGATAATAGAGTGCATGAATATCTACATACTACTATATATATATATATTTTTTTTTTTTTTGGTTCTTCCCAACCAGAAGTGGCCTTTTAAATAGAAGCCACAGTATTTGACATCAAACCTTGTCTGGTCAATATTGACACACATTTCAGTGTCCAGTTATTGACTGCAGGGCAAGCTACTTAAGTTGGTTAGGGATTAGTGTATCTTTTGAGCTGGCCAGAATTAATCTCAAACTTAATTAAACAGACCATATAGACTTCAATTGAGATTATTTTTTTTTTACATCAATTACATACAAAAATTAACTGTACAGTTTACTGTGTGTGCTGCTTTTTTCGCACCAATACCGACAAACCAATAATTATTTTCATGTTATGAGCCATGATGACCAATAAACAGTCAAGTTAAAATTGTATACTATTTGCATAAAAATAAAACGAATCATATGAAATGCTACAGGTTAATTTATCCTAATTATAATTTACAGTACAAAACATTATATTAATTTTAACATTTTCTAAAGATTACATTTAAGTGTTCTAAATCATTAACTTTAACATTTTCTTTGCCATTTTCTAATGCTCAATTAATGTCAAAATAGAGGAAATGAGCACACACACTTAAATATCACCAGTCAGTCAATGTATGCAATATGGACTGACAAAAAAAAAAAAAAGGTAATATCAGCGAGTTATTGAACCAGCGAGTCTTTATGAGTGAGTCGTTGAATCATTCATTCAAACCGATTAAAATAACAATTAGGGCTGTCAAACGATTAATCGTGATTAATCGCATCCAAAATAAAACTTGTGTTCACATAATATATGTGGGTGCACTGTATAAATGTGGGTGTATATGTATAAATACACACACATGCTTGTAAATATTTAAGAAATATTTTCATGTATATACTGTATATAGATTTATATATAATTTATATTACATATAAAAATAATTTATATATAAATAAAACAATGTTTTTAAATATACATGCATATGTTTGTATTGTATTTATATATACATAAAATAATTATACACAGTACACCCACATATATTATGTAAACACAAACTTTATTTTGGATGCGATTAATCGTTTGACAGCCCTAATAATAATTCATTCAAATTAATTAAACATTTTCAACAACAAAATAACATGCTATTTACTAGAGGATCTGACAAAATGTTAAGTTGTCTCTTCAGAATCCAGAATCGTGCAGCTCTACTGTATAGGAAATAAACTGGTTTACATGATGGTCGTTTAGTTTGAAACATCTGCTTTACATTAATTATGTCTACACTTATAATATACAGTTTGAGACACATTTAATATAGTTAGAATATCTAACCTAAAACACCTTTTGTAAACACCTAAAAAGTGTCAATTAGTACTCGCAAATGAAGTCAAAACAAAGCGTGTCTGATATCTGAAATAAAGTCACTGCATTAAATGAGGAGGGCAACTCCATCACTCCAGCATGTGCAACCTAAACTAGGCCTGGCTTTTCTGTGGACATTCTTTAAATGTCAATTCTGTGGCTGTGGCGATCTACGTCTAGTAGCAGTGCAAAGTGTTCCCCCCTAAAGGCGATGCCACAGCTCCCCAGTTAATGGCGCACAGGACCCTGGATGTACACTTATTGAAGGTCCTAATGGAGGGCTAGGGGGAGCTTGTTCCTTAGGCGAGAAGCCGACTATCACTTCATGTAAGAACTGGCCATGTGTGACAGACCTGACCTACATTCTCTCTCGCACTCTCTCTTTATTTCCCTCCTCCTCTAGTACCCACAATTCCAGCTACGCTTTTCTGTAAGGAAGCATCTGTGACTCCAGACCAAAGACAACAGCTCGGTTCTCATTCCTTCCTTTGGTATTTTAAATATTTCAGACAATTTTAGTATGCCAAAGGGCTAGTGACTAAGCTGCTTCATGCTCTAAATAAATTATCAACAATGAACGAAAATGAATGACGAATTTTTATTTTTCAGGTTAAAGGGTTAGTTAACCCAAAAATGAAAATTCTGTCAGTATTTACTCACCCTCATGTTGTTCCAGCCCCGAAAGACCTTCGTTCATCTTCGGAACACAAATTAAGACATTTAAGATATTAAGATCGCTCCTGCATACAGTCCATAGGCTTCTTGAGGGACTGGCTCTTGCTGTCCCCGAAAAGTCATTAAAGACATCGTTAAAATAGTCCAAGTGACTACAGGGGCTCAATCTGAAGTTTATCAAACGACGAGAACACTTTTGTGTGCAAAAAAACAACAAAAATAACGACTTTATTTCAACTATTCACTTCCTTCTCCATGAGCCTGTAAGTCAGTTAACGTAGTGTGATTGCGTAGAGCTACGTCACACGTAGGCTCACTATTGGCCGACGCTGGTCATGTGTGTGTGATGCGTGTGACGTACAATAACAGAAGCTTACGCTATTAAACTAGTAACCTGACTCGCGCAGAGGGAGAAATAAACGAATAGTTGAAATAAAGTCGTTATTTTTGTTGTTTTTTTGCGCACAAAAGTGTTCTCGTCGTTTGATAAACTTAAGATTGAGCCCCTGTAGTCACTTGGACTATTTTAACGATGTCTTTAATGACTTTTCGAGGACAGCAAGAGCCAGTCCCTCAAGAAGCCTATGGACTGTATGCAGGAGCGATCTTAATATCTAATTTGTGTTCCGAAGATGAACGAAGGTCTTACGGGGTTGGAACAACATGAGGGTGAGTAAATACTGACAGAATTTTCATTTTTGGGTGAACTAACCCTTTAAACGTGAGCAGTACTCATCAGTGCTAGACTATTATGGATGGTTGATATGACAATTTATCAAGCCAAAAGTGCTCATTCCATGTCTAAAATGGCAAAAACTGAAACGAATAAATCAATAATGTGGTTTGAAATTGCTGGTGTTTTTGACATCACAAATAGGGCTGTCGCGGTAACCGCAATATTGTAGTACCGCGCTTCTGACAAGTCAACCGCAGAGGATAGCACGTAACCGCAGCAACCGCGATATTCACGTTTTTTTTTTTTTTTATAAGGCTATACCCTTCTTGTTTTGAACTTAATGCATGTGTATTGAATGTTAAACAAGTTCATAATGATAACAAGACTGTTTATCATGGTGATGTGTAGCCTACAGGCTTCACACAGACAGTGAATGAGAGAGATCGGCAGAGCGCGTGCAATTACCTGCGTCTGTCTTTGAAGTCGTGAAAAGCTTGTCGTGTCAAAGGGAAACGAAAAAATAACGTTCTCTTCATGGGTATTTTCCCATAAATGTGCGTCAGCAGCAGCACTGGTCAGCATCCCACAAAGGAAGCCGAAATAAAATCAGTGAGTCACGCATTGAATTAATGGGTCTCTAATAAGTGAAGCATCAGCTTCAGCGTTGCCTAAGCGACGCATTGCCTTGAAAAGTTGAATCTC